TATTGAAATTAGAGGTTTATATGCATATTGGGTGGCATGGGAAGGGTTTATGCAAAAAAATAATATAGAAACATACGCAGAAAATAACTCGGTACTGAAAAGAGTTAATGTTAATGCCACATCCCCACTTCCTTCCCTAAGTTCTTGCGTACGCAACTATTTCCGTTCTCATTTACCGTCTTCGAATTCAAAGGAATTTTTTCCTTAGCACGAAGGAGGCTGGAGTCCCATTACGCATCCCTGTTATGTATCTAAGCAACCAATTATCCAAACAGAAACTATGACCTCCGAAGTAATCCACTCTTCCAGGCAAAAAAAGTCTGGGAGCAAGAAGTACGGAAGATAGAAAGACAAACGTAGTGAGCTACTCTTTCGATATTTGCTTGGTTTAATTGTAACTGTTCCCAGAGGGAAGCGAACATGAACCCTCTCAGCCTTTTTAAATTTTTGCATATTTTATTTTTCCCTTGAAAACGGTTCGTCACGAACGTGCATGCTTGCAGTCATGAGGGGTCCCATTCATAAAATACCCAATCATCTCTTTTTTTAAAGGCGCCAAGATGAATTTCTAAAGAATTCCCCATGCAACACTGGCTCTGTCCCGGCTGCAAAAGACGAGATTAAGATCGACAGTGAAGGTATAGGCAATTCTGAGACATCATGTAGACAATGCTGAAGAGACTCCTTTGATGGGCCGACTATGGGGCAGTCGACTCTGCTCCTTCGTCCATACCAAAACTTTTCCGGAAAAATTCCTGAAAGGCTTCCGGCTGTTCATTGATGGTTCGGGCAGCTTCCATGAGATTTCAGATAGCATGCAAATTACCAAACATCCTTCTGTCTCCTCGCATAAATGTTAGTGTTACAAGGAAAGCATAAAAAATTTTTGGGACCCTTCTGCAGTGGCGCAACGAGACCTGAGTTGTGTGGGGGGAGGGGGAAAGGGAGGGAAAAGGGGGAAGGGGGAGGGGGAAAGGAGCTGGCCACCCATAATTTTCCCTTGGGACACCGACAGAACATAGCTGTCATACTTCATAAGCTTTTTTTGGCACTGGGCAGCGCAAAATCTATCCAGACAAATCAGCATTTGTAAAGATATGTATTTACGCATAATCAGGTAACGCATTCCGTAGCTTCGTAGGTTACTAATGAAATCATACCACAAATTAACATGCGTTAATTAGAAGAGTCCTTAGAATGGAACACACCAGCACAAATCCTGTTTGTTTGAGATGATATACTCCGTTTAAGAGTTGTCAGCCTTGTCAGTGAAACACCGCAAAAACCGGCGTAATTTTTTTTTCTCGAAGAGCTGCAAGTCAGGCGCAAGGTCGCCGCTTCTAATTGAGAAGTTCCGGAGAAGACAGGGGCGAGATGTATTTGGACTTAAGTTCTGCAAATAAGTGAAGTAATCCTCAAGGTGCCATGAAATTCCGACGTGAAGAGCAAAAAAAGAAAAGACAGATTAACTGAAGTAATAACAACCATCACGGGTATTTATTGCGTCTTTTCATATTTTCTAATTCTAGTGTCACGCTGAAAGACTTCTTAGAGAATTTCAGAATGCCTCTTTAATTGCTCTTGTCGCTGCCCTACAACCTCAATATATATTTTTTAAATTGTGCTGTTCATTGAATTGCAGAATAACAGAAGCGTCCGTATCAGCTTTTCTCTTACGCGAAAAGCTGTAACCAATCCAGTTGCCATGTCTGCAGCACAAACCCACGCCTTATGAACCCCTCATGAACCTTCATGGGGGTTTAGATCTGTTTGCGTCATTCCAAAAACCCGTTGATTCAGTGGCTTTCGCTGAATCGAGGACAGCCCCTGTCCGCTCTCGCTTTTCTTACATTTGGAGCGGAACGCTCAAAAGCGTCAACCCAAATCGCACAGATGCCAATAACTAGACTGGAACTAATATGCCTCCGTCACAGCTTGTCATGACGTCGACGAGTCGTAAACTTTATGACAATCTGTGACTGCCGAAACAAAAAGCGATCATCCTTGAAATGGTCGGTAATTTGTCCCATTTGCATATAGTGCTGAGAACATTCGTGCTGAGAACGATATACTGTATAGCGTAATAATTGGTCCACCTATAAAGTGGGGGACAACCTGTAGTCTTGAGGGTTACATTTTATTTCCTTTCGATTAAACAGAGATTTTCAATTCAGATCGCTTCTATTCATTGCAGAGCAGATATGAGCGAGAATCGAAGCGTTCGACCCTGAACTAAAAAAAAATACATAGATGAAGAATTTCCGGACCTGACAGAAAAAATGACATTCAGTTAGTAGTAGAGGGCGGTGTAGAAATGTCACTCCCAGACCCCCCTCAGATGTAGGAAGCCTTGTTTTATTCAGAGCTCCGAGCTGGAATCATGACACGTGAGTGGCATGGTCTCACGCGACAGCCCCCGGCCTCCGTTCGATGCACCGGGGTCTCTCCGATCGTCGGGATCGGGTTCATTCGGATCCGAGCCGTCTTCGAGAGAGTTCGAAGGGATTCGGAGCGTGCCACTCTGCAGCCTATACAGTGAGCCTACGAGGCTGACAGGGACATGGGACCGGCTGTCATGGCCCATACCCGTCCCACTCCCGCGATATTGATCCCGATTCTCGCCCGACTCCCGGACGAATTTCCCCATTCGTTCCCGCTCATTCCCGTTTCGCGCACCCAGAATTTTGCACTGCTCCCGGGAGTCGAGGGGAATGCTTATCCTGCCCCGCGGACGGGAGAGGCCTCGTAGCTCTGAAAAGCGCCTAAACCTCAAGACGTTATCCGAAAGCGCTTCATATAATTTCAATCGTGATGGCATTTTGAGGAAGTAAGCGTCGCATCATGCACTCTCCATGCTAGACTCATTCGCTTATTTTTAGAAGAACCAAGAAGAATGATTAACCCAACGTGGGTTAATCATTCCCACAGGCGGCATTAAATCCTGCTCCGGTGATACCTGTCCCGGGATACTCCTGAATTCCTTTCACGAAGTAGAACTGTATGCCGATCCGGAGAATTTCTCGAGTGAAATTCCAGCAAGATTTTCCTCTCTACTACGAGGCAGAGGCATGTCACGGAGCGACCATCGGGCAAAAAGCCAAATGCCAAGATAACTCACGAAGCTTCCAGGCCAAGCTAGTCACTGACTTATCGTAGTAGGCCCAGGCCTAAAATATGGAAAGAGTTGAGTGAAAACTGGTTCTACCAACTACAGAGCCGCAATGACGCCTCGCAGGGCTTCGAGTCCGTCGAGTGCTCTGGAACACGCGATCAGACGTTGTGATTTCGTTCATTTGTGACTGCTCGCATGTGAGATGTGAACGAGTCATAAACTCACGTGTGAATCGGACGTCAACCGAAAAGGTCTCGAGGCCGCGACTTTCTTACGATCTCTCGTTGGAAAAAATGCCAGCTGATGGGTTGGCATGGTCAGCATAGCGCTGCACTTCCGGTCAAACAAGATTTCCTTCATCCTATTTAAACTGATGGAATCTTTCATGGACAGACATTCTTCGGGAGTTACATTGAGATGCTTTCTTGATGCAGTTCTTGCTGACATGGCATATGAGTTTTTGATTGACTCAACTTTGCTTCTAATCATAAGCGTAGCGTGAATAGAAAAACTGGGGGGGGGGGGCACAGCACAAAGGGCACGGTAACTGGGATACTGTTATCATGCATTTCTAGGTCTTTTCCTTCTTTTTTTTTGCTTCTTTTCTAGAAAAGTGGGGGGGCAGTGGTCCCCCCTTTGGCCCCCCCCCCCCCCTCTTTTTTTTTTTAGCTTTTTTTCTAGAAAAGGGGGGGGGCGGGGGCCCCCCCTTTGGCCCCCCCCCCCCCCCCGCTGCTTCTAAGGACAGATCGGCAAGAAGTCCTTGCAAGAATCGAAATGGAAAATTTCAACCTGTTTTCTCACTTCCTTTTTAGTCTTTTTTTTTTACCCCTAAGTCCCTCTATGTTCAAAATCGATAGCAACCTGAACATTTTTTTAAGCTCCCGAACGACAGCAGAGTGGCTCCAGCTATCACCATTTGCTGTCTGCAAATTCCATTCTGATGTGGTCAGGAGCCTAGAAATGCATCGCGCTAGAGAGAAACTGAGCATGAGCAACAGATGTTCTTCAAAACTCACCAAATTTCATAGGAAAAAAATGCATTCAGATGTGAGCAGTCACGTATGAGCAAAATTATAATGTCTTAATGGATCTTCTAATTCTTCAACTGATTCTTCTTAATCTCCTTCTGACTTCTGATCCAGGAGTGTCCATTCTCCGCTAGAATTTTGAATAAAACAACGCGCCCACTGAAAAACTGCTACGGGAAACCTACGAGATATTAAGTACTTGCCAATGTCCATTACACTTATCAGCATTAAATTTAAAGTTTTAATAGGACCAAAATTTTTTTTATCTATCTTTATGTAAGAGCTGCGAATAGTCAAATAGTGGAGTTATATTTGCCACAGCTACTTTCTTGGCTTCCCATAAAAAAGGAATTGTTGCCACTCAAGGATCTCATAACTTAAAAATAAGCTGCGTGAGACCGAAACACCAACGCAGCAATGAAGGCACGTGGCTGTGTTCACAGACGAAACATTGTGACATTCCTGAATGATCACGTTTAAACTCCCATCCGGCCCTCGAGAAGGAAAAAGGAAGGGAAACGTGCCTTTATTTTTATCTTTGAAGCAGACGGAGAGAAGCAGGGGGACGAACATAGACCGAGAGCAGCATTCAGCTTGTGCCTGGGCTTCGTCCTGGCATAATTACATTTGTGTTGTCTGGGACCATTTGTATCCATGGAATGAAAAACTAATTGGAACAACTGGATCCAAAGGTGGGCAGAAGCAAGAGGGAGAGGATGAGAGAGGGGAAAGGAGAACGGAAGGGTGGGGGGAGGGGGGGATTAGGCGGAATGTGAATGCGGTGGGGACGCAAGCGCTATAAGGAGGGAAAGAGGGAGCGCAGGAGGAAAATCGAAGATTCTCTCGCTCTCGCCTCCCTCCTCCGCCTCCTGCTTTCCGAGCGAGCTGACGTCCACTTCGATGTCAGTGCAAAACTCACCTCTGTGTTTCTTTCCTAGGCTCCATCATCACCTCAGGGTAAGATTCTGATGTCCCACAGCCCTTTTCTTGGTGAAGAAGAAGGAATTCAAGGGAAGAACCTGGCTATTTTTATGTTGCTCGCGTTCTCCTGGTTGCCCCTCCCTCCCTCTGACTGTGCCTCTCCCTTTCTTCCTGTCATTCCAGACCGCAGCTACAGCCTGTTTTCTAACTGCATGTCTCCCTTGAGTCCCCTTTTCAAACCCCCACTTTCACACATCCCTGCAAGCAATGAATGAGTGACCCTCCATCTTCTCCTTACCCATGGTTTTGACATCCGATGCTCTCTGGGGAAAAATTGCGCCCTTTGTCATATAAATTTTGCTTGCATGCCATTCGTTGAATGTTGGTCGAATGCGAGTTCAGCATCAAATTACGACGGCCCGCTCCTGCGGTCCCCGTTCGGCGTCCGTCAGATGTTGGCAGTTCGACATGGAGGCATATATTGTGTCATGGCTAGGTATAAACTGCGTTGTATCGAACAGGGTTCCCCCTACCCCTCATTCATCTCATTACTCTTAAGCCAAGAAATTTGTGCAGCTCCTGGTTAGAGGTACACCGTAATCCATGTACCTTGGCAATTAGACTAATTATATCCGCGTGTCATGAAGCACGCATTTCTAAAGGAGGAAGCTTCTCCCGAGCAGCTTCTGCTTCATCGAGTTGCACGGGAATGGGCTCGGAAAAGTGTGTGAAAGTGTGTAAAGGAGCAGAGATAGGTTCCAATTCTACGCGTAATCGAAGTCAACTGCTGTCCTACTTACGCCCTCTGGCAGGAAGAAAGAAGCCCCGAAGTGAAGCTCAAATGTGTCAATTGCCGTCCGAGTAAGAGGGGGAAAGAAACAGAAGACTGGAGAGATCCGAAGAGGGTTTATCGACAGCCTGAGAGCAAACAGCCCGGGTGCATCTGAGAGGGAGCGGGCAAGCAATTTAACCCGGCGCCATTTTATCCTCTTGTTGCCATTGAGGGATCCCTGGGAACGTTGACCCAGAACCCATCCTCCTTCCCCTCTCAATTTCACGTTGGTTTGGCTGTAAGGAGAATGTAGAAAAGCATGGGAAGGAACTAAGGGGATCGATATACCCCAGGATATCAGCTTGCGTGGACTGAATATATTTTTTTCCTCTGCCGCTCTTATCAAAGGCTTCTATCTTGGGTTTCGCGTGCGAGGTGATGTGGAGTGGCGGCAGCGATGACGAGTAGAAAAGATGTTGATAAGGTCGGGGGGATTCTGCTTGTTGATACTCGAAAATTGGATCCAAGCAGCTGTGGAGGTAGAACTTCCCGTTCCAATACCGGGCATGGGACTTTCTACCTCCACAGACGCAGGGTATCCTACATAGGAAGAACCTGCACTTCCTGTCGTTCCGTTCCGCCTATGGTTATGGGCCTCTTATTTCCTTATTACAACTTATTTCCCGGAGTGCTCCAAGCCGAGTCATTTTATACCACAGGTGAACGGACTTGAAGAATTGCGTTTCCTCAGCATCAGTTACCAGTTTTCCATTCCTAAACGAATTAAAAAACGGTATCAACTCTTGATGACAGGGCATTATTGTCATTATAAGGCATCACGATGTTTGCAGCTCTCAAGATAGGTCTAATTGGCAAAATAAACGGCTCTGTAGCGATGGAAAGGCATCCCAAGAGGAGCCGTGAAAATTTGCCGGACTGTGGGAGGAGGGGAGATCCGAGAATGCGCCATCTTGAAGTGGTAGAGTCCTTTTTTTAAATTTAACTTGCTTTTCCAATTGCTGGTGCAGTAAATTGTCTGTGATTGAAACGCAAGAGGAAGAGAACCTACTAACGACTTGCAATTTGGCGTATCATCACAAGGGTAAAAAGGAATCTTGGGGGAAGAATGAAAATGCCAGCTTGTGAAGTCTCAGGGAGCTGGGAGGGGGTTTCTTCTAAAGAAATATTGTAGCTGCATAGTAGTTAGGAGCGGGAAAGGAGTTACATAACAAGCCAGTAATGAGCCCATATCCAAACAGAAAGGTTGCTTTTGACGTTTCACTGCACTGTTTCGATGAAGGTGAGCGCTGCATAATGGGGCATTAGGGAGGAAGGGTTCCCAATAGGTAAAGTTTTATCTGCTTAAATCCAGACGCTCAAAATGTGTTGTCGTATAAACCGGGTGGCCGAAAAAACGTCCCGAACTTTATGCGTCTGCTGACGGGATACCATATTAAGTATAGTTTTTTACATTTTCAGTATGCCATATCCAATATGTGGAGATGGTTTCAGGAAATTTTCAAGGAAATTCCCTTCTCTGTTAGAGCTCTTTCTGTGCGAGTTGTCAAATGAGCTAGTGTGTCAGTGCATTTGCCTCAAGTGCCGCCTCGGCGAGCGATCGCTGGAAGATCCATCAATGGATGACCCATCAACCATTTCTTTAATTGAGGTCAGTCGCGCTTCTTTGCACACTTGCCCTTTTGACATCGCGCGGGAGTAAAACTGTTCGTCAGGCAGTTAACAACCAATTTTACTGAAAAATTTGTGACATTACCTGCAAATATTGGATGCGAAACCCTGTGAATTTCCTGCAGATAAACTCATATAATATTCCATCTACAGGCGTGTAAAGTTCGGGACTTTTTTTTGGGCCGTCCGGTATTATGAGCAGAGACTTTAAGAGATATTTCTGGGCCGCATCAATAATTGATTCACGGTGGAATTGCGTCATTACAAGAGTGCCCATAAAGGTCTGAGTATCACCATCATCTATTTGTGACGTTAGTCAATACTTTGCTGTGCATACATTAATACACGCCTTGTGATCCTGAAATAAACCCCTTTATTTAGCTATCGCGTTCCAAAGTTATGGCATGTTGTGTAACATGTTGCCTATCTGATGAAATACTTGTCCGATGAATCGAACAAAATTCATTCATAACTGTGATCGGAATCTTGACAGTTGAAAATACGATGACTACGCGTCTATCCCGGATATATCTGAAATGCACTCGTGGATCTCCAGGGGTTCAGCATTCTCGATGACTCAGATATGTTGACCCAAAGAATAAAAACACTCTACAACTTTAGAACAAGACAAGAAAATGGAATGGGGTTTTCAATCCACTATGACAAAATGGGCATATATGCACAGAACGGCTTTATATTGTTCCGTGCCTAAGGGAGCATGTGGCACGAGATTCCTAACATTCTTTCGGACGCCACTCGTTTATGTCTGGTGGAGATGTAACACGCACTTCGTCAATAAAGAGGACGACCGACATGGACCACAAACTGACGGCGACCAATCACAATGGAGTACTTTCCAATCTGCGTTTCCTCCCCCCCCCCCCCCCCCCCCCCCCCCCACCCCCCCCCC